GCTTGAGAGACTTTCCAGGAGAAACCGACAACCCCGACAACCCTAATTGCTCTCAGCTTCCTTAACAGCAACTGAGCGTCACCGCTGTGAAAAGTGTATAGGCACTTAGCATGCAAAACCGCTTGGCTTGGATTCTCGAGTGGAACTTCGTGGCTACAGTCCCACATGCAACAGCACTTAGATATGTGAACTTACCACCGTAAGCTGCGCGGACCCCTGATCAGTGTCTGCGTCTATCCAGTCTTCAGGGTACTGCCCGTCCCCAGCGTGCTGAGCCGTCCAGCCAGGCAAAGGTACGGAGGGGCTATCTATAATCTGCTGGAGGAGCCATGCATCAACTGTAGATGACTCCTGCAAGTATGGATCTGCCATTGTCGGGCCATGGGCTGTTGCTGACTCTGCAGTTTCACTGACTGCGTCCGGACTTACCTGTAGGCCGCCATGAGCTTGTTGGTAAGAAGAAGAACTCCCCGAAGGCGACTCCAATGGGGGGAAAGGCTCGCTGCGCGAAACGATTGTCGCAATACCTGTTGGCTTCTCCACCAACGGCCTTTTTGCTCGGTGACTGCCATCGTCAACGTCATTGTTGCGCCGTTTTCTCTCTCTTCCAGCTACTCGGATGAGGGGGTCTGGGCTCCATCCAGGTGTGTGGGGGGCCAGAAGCCCTCCCCCGTTCTCTGTTTTCCCATCTGTGCTCAATGAAGCACGCAACTCGTGACATTCATCCTCCTCATTGCCGCTAGCCAGCCGCCGGTCNCATCTGTGCTCAATGAAGCACGCAACTCGTGACATTCATCCTCCTCATTGCCGCTAGCCAGCCGCCGGTCGACTGGACCCTGTTGTTTGCGAGGGGGGGCCCTTCGAGCAAGGCAATAGTGGACGGCCACGATGAAAAATAAAAATGCTATAACAGTAGCAGAAGTTACACGTGCCAAGTACGGTCTCTCATGAATGTCGGAATTTGAACCGGGTCTGTAGACACTAGCAATGGTGTCTGGAGGTGGAGAGGACAGGGGCACAGCTCCCTCCTGCTGGCCATCTAGGAACCGAGGGTCCTGAGCCCACGGAACTACTTGCATTTCACATTAAATGGAACAAATTCTCGAAATAAAGGCTGGGAATTTCCCTATACGCCTGTGAATAATAAAAGATGACAGAAACTGGAGCACGCCACGCCTTGGTTTGCGCACGAGTTGCGCAACTGAGTGAAAACAAACGAACTCCGCCATATGTGCTAAAGGGAACAACAAAATACAAAGACTTTCCACTCATTGAAAAAGAATGGTGATGCCTGAAAATATATTCACAGACGCCAGGCCTACACGTCTCTCGATGCAATCGATTGTGCTGCCAGCAGCCGTTGCCGGTTCGTCTCGATCTCAGACTAGGGCTACTCAACTCGTAGCTGACTGCAGCCTATGGAGAAATTTCCTCTTCTTTTTTCATCTCATTCGTAATAAAAATGTAATTCATTCTGTCCAGGCTCGCGAGAAATCATCTTCGGAAGCAGAGCAGCGGCCGAGCATGATGAGTGATGGAAAGCAGCCAAAGATGGCGAATGACTAAACACAAAACTTTTGCAGAACTCTCGCTCGGGCCTGCAAGCCTTATTGCCTGGCTTTGAACTGTAGCTTTCTTGTGGCTTTCATGTTGGATGAGTCCGTCTTGTCTGACGTACAAGTTTTGTTGTTTCTCTTCCTTCACTGCACGAGTAAAGGTAATATACTGCAGGAAACATCTTCCGTGCAAAAAACTTTGTATCTCAGACCCCCTCCAGCATATGCAACTGGCGCGCACCTGGCAGTGACCTCTTGCTGCTGTGGGCTCTCCAGTTGTGTCTGTGTAGCGAGATTACTTAATCATAGCAACAGGTTGTCGTGAGGGGCAGCATATTCAACATCGCTCTCCACTGTCATGAATCGCAACGTTTACAGCTGCAACGCCTGATACACAGTAAACCTACATGGGATCATAAGGCGCAAGCCCCATCCGTTGCACGTGCTAACACTGTAAACAACTGTTAACCACATACTTCTCCGTCAGCTCTCAGCCAGTTGTATGTGTGTAACCTAACTTTTAGGACCTCTAAAACTTATTGAGGCTGCTCATTTCATAGGGATTTGGCGCGCTGCGTGCTGCTGCCTTCATGGCGGTGAGCTGCAGCTGACCGAGGTTTCGTCTCTCGAGCCCTCTTCTGTTGCGACGCCGCCTAATGCAGCACCACGCCTCACACCCACGCAGCCTCAGCTGCGCCTCTGAAACCAAGTAGAATAGCGTAAGCTCTTTTTGTCAGGAATACAGGCTTTTAGTTGAATGAGGTTCCTAATATATACTTCCGCCAGCAGGCGTATTCTTGCATTCATTCTTTAGCACGGCGCTCGAGAGTGTGAATTTGAATACTCTTGGCATTTTGTCTTAGCTGCATTTTCTCGTTCACTTTTCTGCAATGCCGTCTGCAGCATATCTTGCAGCCTGCCTATTACGCTTCCCTGCTGCTCAAGCAGATGCACGAGGCCGCTGCGAGCATCTGCTGCACGGTTGCAGCTCAGGCGACAAATGTTGCAAATGCTATACTAGTCACTGAGACCCGGCCCCTACTGCAATGTATTCTCTACATAAAACTGAATTTTATAGTGTATGGAATACATGCAAGTATATAGGAATACTATATAGAATAAATTACTTCTAGTTGAACACTCCAGGGGTCCGGATCTCCCGAAGGTTTCTACATATTTTCTCTTTGCACCCGCTGACCCTACCTGAGGCCACCGGGGCCCTTCTCGGCATCCTTCTGACGGCAATTTGTTTCTTAGGTGCAACTTGACCTTTTTTAGGCTGCGGCAGAGCCCCATGGGGGCCCCTTAGGGGTCCCTTGCGGGACTATTGA